TTGCATTGGATCATTGCTCTAGTTTGTATACTTGTTGGACATGGTTTCTATGAATACATATAGAAATGAGCCACCTAATAAAAATCTATTTTTGATATGGGATTTTGGTCTTAATTTTTAAGGACATGTAATTTCCGACAAGTAGATCAGGAATATAAATAAATAAATAAATTTTAAATATTAAAAAATAATTTTATTAAAAAACATTTGGACTGTTAATTTCAATTTTTTTTATACGAGGACCACAAATGTAGAAATGCGGTCCCCACCACATGAAACAATACTCCACACTTTTCTTTGGCCAAACATTATGATAAATGCAACCATAGCGTAATTTGTAAGGAATGAACCCCAATCGAACACCAATCTAACAAGAAAGAAATAAGTGTTGTGTGATACCCATACCCTCATCATTGATAAATGATAAAATTAGGGATATTTGCATGCATATCCCCCTAACGATTTATTCAAAATTTTCCTTATTATGTTCCTTTTTTTTTTTTTAATGTTATTTTGTTTTTTTTCCAAATCGTCCCTACAAAGTCGAGTGGGGTCCGAAGTTGCAATTTTGGATCACATGATTTTCTCGTTAACGTAATTCAAACCTTGAAGGTCCAAACTTGTCTAAAACAGTGCTTGCAAAACCACTGGGCATGGCTGGTTAGGGTGGTCAACTAGCTTGGCCACTGGAACTTTAAAAAATTAATTATATATATTAAGCGTTCATTCTTCTCATCAATTTGTACCTAATAAAAATATAAAAAAAATAATTTATAAAATATAAATTGACCAAAATACCCTTAAAATGTTTCGAGGTTATTTTAGTCAATTTATATTTTACGAATTAATTTTTATATATTTTTATTAGATTCTTATATTTTTTAATAATAATCTCTCCAAATTTCAAATGATTTGGATTTATAGAAAAAAAATAAAAATTCAAACACAAAATTAGATTGTGACCGTCGGATAGGTCCAGATTCAATCTGGCACATTGACTCACACTGCAGCTATCAACCCGTGGGCTGACAAGATCTTATATATATATATAAGAGAGAGAGAGAGAGGGGGTCTAATGAGAGCTACCTTTGATGCAAGGTGATCACAATTGCTTAGAACAATATGATGTGAAATTTGACAGCTAGGATATGTCACAAAGTTCGAGAAAATTTCTTTTAAAGTTCGAGCTTGGTCAATGGAATAATTGCACCCACCCAATTTCAAATCCAATGATCAAGATTAATGTGACCACCTTATACCAAAAATAAATGGTTTCATTATATACTTTCCAAAAAAAATGGAAAAAAGTTGTTTATAATAAGCCTTTTATGTTTTCTATCGTTTAGGAAAAGAGTGGAAAGTATTATGGCCATAAATACTTATTTTTTAAAAAAAATATTCTGTTTTGGATTATTTTTAAAATATCCTTGGGCACAAATTGATTTTTTAAAATCCTTTTTTTCACCTACTTTTTTAATCTCATTTGGATGTATTTTATTTAATTATATTTCAAACATGAATTTCCTTTTTTGGGGGGAGTTTTTATGCTTTTGAATTTTTTTAAAATATTTTTAACCAAGCCAGGACCTGCCCAACTCAGGCCAGTTATCAGGACCGGTTCTAGGTTGTCCAAACCCGGCCAGGTTCCGCAGGATTATACAATCGAACTATGGTTTGAAACCTCAAATTTCAACTTTAGACCTTGAAAGTCGGATGCAAGGGTAACTTAAAGGAACAAAAAAACAAAAAAAAACAAAAAACAAAGAGGTGTCAACTTAAAACTGAAAATTCAAGAGGGATTTTTAAGTAACAAATTTTCGGAGGACGTACGCATAAATTTCTCTAACAACTGCACCCCTACATCGAATTTTAAAAACTAATTTGCTTTGCTAAAATTGGACCATGTAAGAAAATTACACCTCATATTTCCATAATCGAAATTCATTTCATTTCAAATATTAATATATAAACAATCGAAGGTAAATTTCTTTGGGTCTTGCTGCTTAAGAGAGAGGTTATGATCCGATCTGGTGGAGTGAGGGCTTTGGTATGAAATTGAGAATGTGGATATTGCGTTGACTTTCTTTTGCCCCCTTTTCAATATTGATTAAATTTTTTAATTATCAAAAAAAAATTGAAGGACAAGACTTTATTTTCATTCTTGGACATTTTTTTTTTTCAAGCGCATAAAAGTGCACCTACGAATTTTTTTTTTTTTCTTAGAGATTAATCAAGGGATTGAAAAAGTTAAATCCCTAAAATTTAGAATCCTAAAATTAATCCTAAATTAATTGAGTTTTACCCGGGGGAGTAAATGGATAGTATCACTCCGGTAATATAATTTGGCTTCAGGACATAGATTACGTTAATAGCCATCGCAAATTCAAGGCAAGAAATACAGCTTAAGAAAAAATACATCCCATAAGGCCAAAAAGATAGATAAATTTGTTCATCCATCACACACACACATAAAAAATTAAGATAGAGCAGTTAAATGCTGATTGCAAGTCCCAAGAAATTTACTCAGCCCCTCAAGTAAAACTAGGACCAGAAGAATTTCATACACCTTGATGAAACCAAATTTAGCATGAGGCTACAAAGCTACAAGGTCTATACCCTTCCGATCATCATTATCATTGTCGAAGCCTTTTCTCAACTAATTTGGGTCGACCTCACGAATCTTATTCGTGTCATTCTGCTCTATTAAGGACCATGCCCCACCATAAGTCTCCATATTTCCATATACTATCCCATTTCGTAATTTCTACATAATACATAAAATTTCTTCACCGACCCCTTTCAAAGTCAACACGGGTCCTGCTTGACCCTCCCTCGTAGCTCTCCCTCATTGCAGCACCAGCACTGGCCTTCATGGTGCCGCCACCCCCTATTTTATCCATAGCCTTCTTCCCTTTCTTCACCTCTGTTAAGAACTGATCCAAACCGAAAGGATCAGCCTCTTCTGCCTCTTGCTCAAACTCAACAGGCCTATCTCTAGGTCCTGCCTTCTCACTGGCCCCAGCAAAACCTTTATCAGGCCGGAATCGATCGGTCTTGAGCACCTTCTCGAGTTGCTCATCGGCCCCTCCATACGCATCTGAATCAGTATCCTTCTTAGGCCTGTAGAGAGTAGAGAGCGTAGAATGTGCAGTAAACAAACCCTTGTCATATATATTGTATTGGTCATCAGCTGCAAAACCAGACTCCATACCCTTCTCTTGATTGAAAAGCCTTTGGTCATACATGACTTCACCTGATCGACCAGTAGTGGCCATGCCAAGAGCAACCTTCTCACTAATATCCCTATCCCTATCCCTTGTTATCTTGCTCTTCTTACCCATGGCTACTTCCTTTGCCTCTAATCTCCTCTCCCGCTCTCGCTCCCGCCTTCTCTCCTCACGTATCGCTTCACGCTTCAGCCTCTCTTCTCTCTCCTCCTTTGTCTCTCTAACATTTTCTTTCATCCTCTCCATATCTCCCCTTCTCTCACCTCCATTGAAAGGACTGATCTCCTCGCGTCCATCAATTGTGCCTTTATCTACAGCAGCAACTACAGGCCCTGCTCCAGTCCTCTCTGACCTTGCCTTTTGAGCGAGAGCACGTAACTCTTGCTCCTTTCTATTCTTCTCCTTAAGCATAAGCTCCCTTTGTATCTTAGACCTCATCTCTACAGCTTCTCGAGCCTTTTGCTCTGCAACATACAAGGCCTCTGAGAGCTTTGCAAAGTTATCATTGATCTGAACCTCTTGAAGCCCACGCCCATCAGCAGCAAGACGCTTGTCTAAGGGGATTGTGTACCCTTTTGGATTCTTCCAGTTAGAAATACAAGGGGGAATTTTCCAGTCTTGTTGGTCTTTCACTGTAACAGGGCGAGGTGGTGAATGCATAACAGGAACTGGTGGTGAACCTGAGGCTTTAGGTACCCTCTTGTGCTTGAATTTTGGGGGCTCAAGTGGGTCAACAGGCATATCAACCATACGGATAATCCTCTCTTTTGCACCCGAATTGAATGCAGCTGATTGTTGTGAAGGTTTATATTTAATGAATGTCGCATCGGTGGATTGTTGGGGAACATTCTTAGGTTGTGCAGCACTCAAACGAACGTTCACTATCTTCTCCAAAGCTTCCTTTGTTCTCTGTGTCGTTTCTGCTATTTCTTCTTCCTCTTCATCCTTCTTTTCCTCATCATTAATCAACTTTGGGAGCAAATCTTTGTGCTGGGAGTAGACAATCTTGGAAGCATTCTCATTTTGTTTTACTATGGCATCGAACGCAACATTTCCCTGGGCATCTACAGTGAGGGGAAGGATTTTCGAGTCTCTTTTCTCTTCTTTTCGGCCCATGCCAAGTGGGTACTGGGCAATGTGGATCTCAGGAAAGGCCCCACCATCTCCAAAATCTTCAGGTTTTCTAGGAACAAAACCAGCTCGTTTCCCGTAAGGAGGGATGGATTTGGCTTTGGAAACTGAATTACTACTGGATTTTGCAGGGTCAATGAACCGATCTTTGAACCATGGGTCTGATGAAAAGTCATAGACACCAGTGGTTTCCGACTTTGGTTGGGGAAGAAGCTCCTTCAACGTTGCCATACCATGCCACCAAATTTACCAAGAATATAATCCTCGAATAAACTGCAAGAGCAAGAGAAACAGTAAATAGAATCAGAAACTTTATCATATTGTTCTATGGATCATGATATAAATGTTAACCAAATTTGCAAGAATAATTAGTTCAAGAACTGGGGTACTAAATTATCACAAACCTTAAATTATTTTTATACCACGAAACATAATAGAAATGCTAACTAGAAACCTTCAATTATTTATTTACTAGGAAAAATGGGGGAAAGGAAGATGATAGCAATGAATCGATAAACTGAAAAAGTAAAATGTATCTCAGAGGCATGTAGTTCCAGAACTTAATACACTAACGTAATTTATGAAACCAGCCCTAGTTTCAGACTTGAAACCCCGTGAAAAACTTCCAGGAATGATTTTGTAAGAAGTGAGATAGGCAGATAACAAATGCCAACCCCAGTATGAAACCTAACCACCAGAAACAGGTAGCCAGAAAACTAGGAATTAATTACTAAAAAAAATCACCAATGCATTGAAAGATTTGCCATATTTGAGAGAACTATGAAAATTCAACGCAAACCCAAAACTCAGTAAATAAACCTTAGTAGGAAATTCGAAATCCTAATCCCAACATATGTTTGTTCAAACTAAATTAATGTATTAACTATTACTTAGAAAAGCTTCGAATTCTGATACAACTATTAAAAAAAATAAAAATCAATACATATAAAGATGATGAATAAGAAATTCCTAACCAGAAAAGGAACCTTAATTTCACTGTTGTTCCACAAAAGAGCAAGACATGTGCACAATAACACATAAATAGCAGACAAAGATCAAATCACAAATATCGCACTATTATATAAAATTGGCTCAATGTTATGCGCTGTTTGACCGAGACGTGTGTGTGTGTGTGTGTGTGTGTGTGTGTGTGTGTGTGTGTGTGATAGACAGAGGCATTAAGAAGCGCTAAAATTATGATATCCCAATGGATCCTAGCGAGAGAGAGAGAGAGAGAGTTTCCACTAAAATCATAAAATCTAGAGAGATAATCAACGAATCCAGAGAGATAAAATACCTATTAAGTTACTCATCATCGTCATCTCCTCCCTAACACAAGTTTAATTAATAGGAGCCTATCAACTGCTCTCTTAACATATCTACTACTTTATCCACCTATTAAGTTACTCAAGAGAGATCAGCATCATCATTAACATTTGAGCCTTATCCCAACTATTTATGGTCGGCTACATGAATCCCGTTCCGCCATTCCGATCTATTAGAGGCCATACCCTCAGTCACACAATAAATCAAAACAACTTTTCTCACTACATCCATCTCTTTTGGGCCTTCCCCTTGCCCTTTAGAACCTTCCACTTGAACCAAATCACCCCTCCTGACATGTATTGTTCTAGGTCCATGTTGTTCTAAGTTATTCAACAGAGATAAATAACAAAAAATCCATGAGATACTCTTTAGAGAAAAAGAGGCCACAAGTAATTCTAGAGGTAAAAAAAACTTACAAGAAATTAAAAGAATGATTGCAACAAACTATAGAGAGAAATCCACATGAACTTCTAGAGAGAGACCAAAAATAAAAACCACAGTAAATGCTAGAGTTGTATCCACCATAATGTCATATCCACCAACCAAGTAAAAACCACCATAAATGGTGAAGTCATCTCTATGTCAAGAGAAAGTTTATAGGAGTATAATAAAATAAATGGAGTTCCGCGAGGTAGTGTTTCAGGGAATCTCGGGGAGACTCTCCCAAGCCTAGGCTAAAGTAGTACAAAAGGAGTTGAGGAGTCTCTCAGTCTCTCTTTTAAATTTTGCTTTCACTATAATTAAAACTAAATTTTATTATTCAACTTGGATTATGAATTGGCCATTGGCCTAAACAAATATTTGTAACGGTTCACCCCTATATTTAACTTAGCTTGAGACTCAAGCTATTCTTAACTTTCCTAAAATCCTAAACACCAGCTCCCCTAAGATTAGGCAACTAGCTCAGTGTTCGCTTTGGTGGAACTTCTGGGTACTGAAAGATCCAAGTTCAACCAAACAGGACTCCCAAGATTCGGCAACTAGCTTAGTGTTTGCTTTGGTGGAACTTCTGGGTACTGGAAGATCCAAGTTCAACCAAACAGGACTCCCAAATTAGTTGCACGATTGTGGAAGCCACAAGATGGAACTTGCGGCTTGCACAAGCCCTAGATACAACAATCTTTTGATGTTGTTTTAGGAAGCTGCCCCTTCCACGCTAAATCATGGAAGCGGTGGCTTCCATACTTTGTGGAAGAGGGGAGGCTTAGGCAGTCCCCTCTTCCACAAGCAAACACTATTATAGATAAGGAAACTAAGCCTTTACACAATAGGAGCACTATCTTTTAGAATTCTTCTAATCAAATAGAAAACTATCTTCCACAAGCTAATTAAGGCCTAGCTTAGTCCTATAGCATTAACAAGGTCGGGCAAGGCTGGCCTTGGGCTAGGGCCCTTTGGTCAAGCCGGGCTGGCCCTCTAGGGTGTCTATGTTTGGGCTTTGCTCTGGCCCAGTTACTTGCCAGCCTTAGGCATATCTAGTGTTCATTCTTTGATGCTAATATTATCAAGTACAATATCTATTGATGTAGATCCTAGGCATAATACAATCTGCAATTATATCTTAATAAAATTAACTATACTAGATTATTGGAAATCGGTTCTATAAATAGAATCATGAAAGTCAAATTATAAGTTTGTGCTAGAATTTTGAGGTTGCTAACTTCCCTATAAGAAATATAACTTGTAAGATATTAAAGCTTACTAGATTAATATATTTGGGAATTAAGTTGTGGCTTCAATAGGTGATAAGATGAGGGAAAGTAGACTTAGGTGGGCTAGCCATGTGCAACGCAGATCTAACACAGCACCAGTTGGAGATGCGATTTGGTTCAAATGGAAGGCTCTAAAAGGGCAACAAGAAGGTCCAAAAAGATATAGATGGGAGTAGTGAGAAAAGATATGGTGACATATGGTCTTACTGGGGGTATGCCCATTCATAGAGTATAATGGCAAAACAAGATTCATGCAGCCAACCCCAAATAGTTGGAATAAGGCTCGGATGACGATGATAGATTAATATGTCATTTTTAGACACATTTAATAAAAAAAATACGTATTTTTGGACGCCTATTTTCTCAAGTGTGCCTAGAAGAATTTAGTACAGTCGTCAATTCACAATAACACATTAGAAACAAATTATCCAACCAAAAAATAAACAAGAAGCACAAGAGCTTCATTTCCGAATTTCAAATGAAAAAGCAACTGAAATCAAATTGAGGAAGTGATAATCATATATACACTAGTTAACTTTCAAAATACTTTTCATGATATTTTAAAACAGGTCACAGCTCATGCTAACTTTGTGATAGTGTTTACCAATGTTTGACTTGAATCAGCCAAGCGAATTGATCGTCCAAGAAACTATTTCGGATCAGTGGGTCACAATCCAGATCGGACAGTTCGGGACAATCTGGCCTTAAAAAATTTCAAAAAAAAGCTAAAATTTCTTAAAAATCTGGTTTGTAAAGTTTCAAGAAAAAAATGGGGCAATACATAATGGACGTTCATCATTTTATCAAAAATATATAAATATTGAGAACATGAAGAGAGAATGAGACTTATAAGAGGAAGTTAAGAGATCGTAAAAGGCAGAACAAAAACAACCCAATGACAGCTTTGGAGGAACAAAAGATTTCCCAACCAAAAATTTCAAAGAATATAGGTGAAAAATTCAGATGTTTTCTTGAAGTATTGGATAAAATTTCAGCAACTTTAGCATCATACTCAATAAGTTTATGTAAAATTTTGGTCAAATTTTAGGGATTTTCTTTGAATTATTGAATGAACAGAATCATAGGTTCGAATGCTCATTCTATTTGAAGTTTCAGAAATCTTGTTAAGTTTCTAAATAGTAGGAAAAACTTTTGAATACATTGTCCTAAATTTTCTTAATTTCTAAAAGAAATTAAATTTCTACATATTACATTGTAAGGAAGTATAAGACAATGTATTATATGATATATTTAAGAATTAAGACAGTGTATAAGACAATGTATTTATATAAAATAAAAGTCTTGTACTCTTGTACAATGTATTATAATAAGACAATGCTAATTTTATAGTATGCCAAACAAATACAAGTGGTTGGAAATTCATGGGGAGGGTTGGAAGCAATGGTCAAAAAAGTGGAGGCGGCCGCCCAAGACTAGGCTACCCTCACAATCCTCATAAAAATTGAACCCCCCCATCCCCCCCCAAAAAATAAAACAACAATGGACTCTTTAGGGCAGGGTTTTAAGCTTTAGCGATTTTTAAGGGCAAGTTTAGAGCCCCAGACGCCTCGTGAAATAGACAAAAAGCAAGTTTTAGGGCAATTAAGCTGCTACCATGTTAGTTTTACAATAAGACTTTACTCATTAAGATATCATATAAGTTAGAATTTAAGAATTAAAATATATCATATATGATATGATATCATTAAGATGTTAGTTTCAAAACAGTATGAGGTATGACTTAATATTACTTTACAATAAGACTTAAATGAATATATAAGATCTTAGTTTCTCACATAAGGCTTAACTCATTATGATATCACATACATACATAATTAATTATTCATTAAATTAAGTAAAACAAAAATAATAAAATATCAAAACATGACACATTGTACAAAAAGGAATAAACTATTCATAGAAGAATATGATATATGCTCAATTTCATCGACCAAATGAGAAAAATTCAATTAATCACAAAAAAAAAAAAATCAATTTTTTACCTATAAACATGTAAATATATCGTAATAAATAAATAAATAAAAACGTATGATTCATATTATAATATATTGTAGAAAAATAAAATAAAAACCGTCTTTCAAATATGATAAACTTAGAAAATATCAAAATCAAATCGATGTTCATGCAAACCTCGGGTATTGAGAGCCAAAAGTCCTCAAAATAAACTACTACAAGCTCCAAATCCACCCTCAAACTATTGCCTTTGCTTTGGGAAGAAATTGAAAAAACAAAAATTTATTGATCATTTGAAAATCTCAAATGAGTGGTTTTTTTTAGAGTTTTCTCACACTAAAATCCTCGGTTTTTGTTTTGGGGGTTTAGAATACCCCCCAAAACCCTTTTCCCCAATTTTTATGGGGGAAAAATTACATTTTTTGACCTCGTCGAGACCCATTTTCCGCCCTTTGGCCACTTTCACTACGCGGCGCCTACACGGGTGCCTAGACTGTAGCGCCTAGGCGGCGCCTTGCCCGCCGTAGCGAGCGCCTTGATGCAGAACGCCTAATGACCCTGCCTTGTTAGTGCCTAGTCATTTTTCAAATTTTTTCGCCTAGGTGGTCAGGCAGGCACCTTTTCGAACACTGATTGGAAGTTTACAAGCACCGACAATGTCATTTTTAGTCTCACATCGCAGATGGTTGGAAGTTCAAGGGGAGGCGACTCTTATAAATATGGGTTACAGCTAGTAAGCAATGCGTATTTGGCATGTGGCTGCCCAATTTTAATGAGAGGGGGTGGGCTACTTTACCAAAAATTACAAATAAAAAGATTGAAAAAAAAAAAAGTGTGAACCGGGAGGTCCAACCCATGGACCCAAAGTGTGTGTGTGGCCATCCACAAAAAGATGTCTGGCCACCTCTGATAAATAAAAAACTTTAAAAAAATAATAATAATAATAAATATTTTAAAAAATTTGTGGGAATCAGGCAGGATCGATAGGTTCCCTGACATATCTAACCGAACTAGCTGGTTATGTCTGATAACCAGTTGGTTCTGTTGGGAACCGCCTGGTTCCTGATATTATCGAGGAACTGAGACGGTCCCCGACGATTCCTGGGTTGGAACGGGTGATTCCGATTTTTAAAACACTAGTATTTACAACTGTTCTGGGATTGAATTGAGTAGGATTCATGTGGCCAACCTCAATTAGTTGGAAAAAGGCTTTGTTGATGATGATGACGATCACAATTGAACTCAGTGATCATAATGGAACCATGAAAACATTCAAATGCTCAAAATGGAATTACTCTATCATGACTCATGAAGTCTCAACTAGGCCAAAACAAAAGCATAGAAAGGAAGATTCAAAGAAATACAAATTATGTCCCCAAATTCCTAGATCAAATGCACATTAAGTACTTATGTAGGATTGATAGTAATCATGCTCTCAACTTGCACCAATAATAACATCTAAACCATCACAATATTAGTGCATAATAATCCAAGCATCCAGTATATTGGTGTATAATAACCCAAGCATCCAATATAAACCCTAAACTGCCAAATTTCTAGTCAAGTCAATCAATAATCAAAGTCGAGACTGCATTGAGGAAACCTACAAGACAAGTCAGATTAAAACATTTAATTTCACAGGAAAAAACTAATATTTTTTTTTTAATTGTCAGGAAAAACTAAGCTTGATGAGCAGAAACAAACCCTAATCTTAATTAAGCATTATCAGGTCACTTTCAGATGTACATAAAATTAAGTTGGTAAATTTTTTGGGCCAAACCACTCTTCTTGAGAAATAAATACATTGTCAAATTCGGTAATTTTTCTGCAATCATATGTAGTCAGTGATTAAAAAAAGAACGAACTACTGTTTTTGACAGATAAATACATTAATGACAATTACCAATGACAATTACCATAAAACTTCCTAATTAACACAATAATTTAAGATTCATCACAAAATTAAAATACACACAAACACTAAAATAAGAAAAAAGGCCCCAAATGGACTTTGCAACTCACGAAATAAATCGAACACAAACCTCTCTCTAAGACCAACCTGTAGAAAAACAATATCAAAAAATTCCATCCTTTAATTACCAGATAAGCCCTAATAGAAAGAAGCGTCAAAACTATTTTTAGGTCCATCAAGCCCGGAAATCCACCTTCTCCTGTAATTTTCACTCTAAAAAATCTACCCAATAAAACTAAAAAAAAAAGAAAACAAAAAAAAACTTAAATTTCAATTATAGCTCTGCACCTCGGAAGCCCTCCCAACCCTGACTCCCCAAACCTCTATTTACCACATGAAAAGCTCAAAAACCTCACAAACCTGACAACCTATACTCTCAAAAACTCTAGACATGAATCGCGCTCTAAACTCCAAGTATTCCCCATAACCCTAGAAAAGCATCAGGTACAGGTTGCAGGTACATGAATGGAGGCCGAAACCCTAAATAAATAACATCTGGTAGAGACGCCATTAATTAGATCAAGAAAACTGAGATCTGAGTGAAAAAAACAAGGCTTCGGCTCTTCGCCAACTAATTATTATCCCAAATTTCGATAAGGGACCAACAATTTGTTATCCTTACGTAGTTGTTGAACATAGATAGAGAGAGAGTACCTGCAGGCGTTTGAGCAAGAGATAGGTTGATGAAGAGAGACGTTCAGTGGAGAGAGATAGAGAGATAGAGAGAGAGAAAAAAATAAAAGAGAAAGAGAGAGAAAGCTGCTCAATTCTCAGGGCATCTGGACATGGTGGTGTTCCTAAATCATTAAATGAAAGTGCTCGTATATTGTGCTCCAGCTCGAGCATACTGCATATCTACCCCTTCGGACAGATGTCCGATAAACACCCCTAGTCTCTGTATCATTCGGAAAAACTGCTGCTCTAAACAATCATATGAGAGCCCACCTCAAAAATTTCAAAATGATCATTTCGATATCAATAAAGATGCATGGACATGATAATAAAATGGATTTTAAAGTTTTTTAAAATAGTGTATCGCATATTTTAGTGTGAATTTTTAAGATTCTTAATTTTTTATAGATTTGTGATTTATATTATTTTTAAAATTTTAAATCTTATAATTAAAAATAAAAATATACTGTAAGGCTATCATAAAGACTTTTGATATTGAAATCACTTTTTTCAATACCATTTGAAGAGGTGTTTTACTTTGATTGTTAAGAGCCTTGGCTCTATACAAACTGCATACTTTACAGTTTACACAAAGGATGAAGTTTTTATGCCGAGTAGGCACACTTCAAATCCGCATCCCTCATTTTCAGCATAAAAAATGACTATGATGACTCCAAAATTAATTTTTGATATCAATAATAAAATGTTGAAACTCAAAAAATACTATAAATCTGGCGAATATATCAGCTCTTATTTTTAGGACTCAATGATTTGTTATAAAAAAAAGTTTATATAAGGATGCAACTTATAATGTAGAACTATGGATGCACCTCAAAAATCCATTAGAAAATAAAGTTTTAATGTTGAAAAACTCTTTGATTGATCATCTCGACATCGAGATGTATGACCATAAAAAATAAAAAGATTTTAAGTCTAAAAAATAGTGCATTTTACAACATACTATTTATACCGTCAATTTTCAAGATTTTCATATGTTTATAGATCTATTTGATTTTAACTATTTTTTAAATTTAAAATTTTATAATTAGATATAAAAATAGATTTTGAGATAATCCTCATAACATTTTACATCAAAATTATATACCATGATAAAATTGAAGGTGCACCTTACCTTTACAGCTACATATGCATCTGTATGCTAATTGCACCTTTTATTATAATATGCACTATTTTTAGAATTTGAAATCTTAATTTTTTTCACAACCATAATGTGCAACCTCATATGATTGATTTAAAGGTTTTTTAATACTTGAATTACAATTTTCAATGAGTTATGAGGTGAGGGTTTACTTGTTCTATCATACCATTTTCATTATGCGAAAGTAATACTCCTTATACAATATTATTTTGTTAGGTGTTGGGACCGTTTGGATCGTGGAGTAAACTCCAATGTCTAAAATCAACATACTCTTCATAACATTGTTTTATGGAATTGTATACTATAAGACTATTTACCATTTATAAAAGCAGGTCACAATTACTTATAACCATCCAATGTAAAATTTGATACTTTGGGTGTCTCACAAACATCGTTTTAAAACTTAATTGAAGCAACTCCGACTCGGACTCGGCCTAATAACTCGGCCTCGGCACATGGGCTAGACAAGTTTTGGAAAAGTTAGTTGTACACAATATTTTCGCGCCTTAACTATAAGTGCTAACGAGTAGACTTTCACTCCAATGAGGGATTCAAATCCCGCCCCATGACCTTTTTTTAATGAGGGTTCAAATCCCCGAACATTAACCTTCGTGTTTTTTAAGGCACGCTCAAACCTCCTACACCCCAAATGAGAATTCGAATCCTGCCCATCAACCTCTCTTTAAAAATAATCGAGCTCAATACCTCTCATAAAGAGGTCATTTGACCCAAGGTACAATAACCAGCACACCATCCCTGATTTTATTGATAAAAGGGGCACTTGTATATATATAGCCATTATTTTTTCTTCATTTGTTTTTTAAAAATATATGGTATTGGGCAAGTTACTCGGACTCGCCCGAGTAATTCCCCCCGGCAAGGTCCCGAGTAATTTTTCTGAGTCGAATTTTTTAACATTGGTCACAAAATTCAATAAATTTTCTTTTTAACTTTGAGCTTAGTCAATGAAATAAATCTAACCGCCCAATTTTATATCTAACGGTCAAGATTAATTGTGACTACTTTGTATCGAAGATAAATAGTCTCATTGTATATTTTTTTTTATTTCATTATAATACATTTTATTAATTATTTGGTATATGCCTTGCATTATATGTGTATATCATTTAATTACTTATTTTTTTGTTATTTTTAGTTAAAACAAGTGAGCTTCAACACATTGCTTCGTGTAAAGTCAAATAACTTTTAAAAATGATAAACTCATATGAAAAACTATTTATAATTTTATTTCAAATGGTTTTATGACTAATACTAACATCGTCATCATCATAACCTTTTTCCCACTATTTAGAATCGGTTGCACGAATTCTAGTCCGTTGTTCTACTCTATTAAGGGCTATACCCTCAGTGAGACCATAAATCCACATATATTTTCTCACTACTTCCAATCATACACTTTTAGACCTACCCTTTTTCTTTTTTGAGCCTTCCATTTGGAGCCAACTTGCACGTCTCAACAGTTACATGCTGGGTATGCGTTACACATGCCCATCCCATCTAAGTCTATTTTCTCTCACTATTGGAGCCACACTTAAGTTCTCTCGATTGTATTCATTTTGAATCATATCCCTTCTTATCTCATCATTCATCTATCTCAATATCGTTAGGATTTGTGAAAAGTTGTGGTAGAGTTTTATGTTGTATACGTACATAGCACAACCCACCTCCTTGACCTAGGTTTGAGACGACTTAAGGGAAAATTTAATGTTCTCACCCTTCTTAGACCATTATGACGAACATTTGTAAACAACAAATAATTTATTATCAAAATTACTTTTTAAAAATAACAAAATAGTTGGAAATATGCTAGGATGATAATGAACAAATTAGTAGTTATTCAAATAAATGCAATCAAGCTTTGAGGGCTTGAGCCTAAAGTCCATCTCTATATAACGAAGGACCCAACCCTTATGTTCTTGCTCCCTTAAGTTATTTCCTAAGCTTAGTTATCAAGATTGCACTAAACTACCGGGTTTTACCAGTTTGACCTTTTGCTAATGTCTTAGCTAATCTAGTTTAAATCAAAAATCTAATTCGACAAAAAACATATGACACTCAATGTCAGGCCATTTTGGCCCATCCAACCATCATATCCAGACATTGGTCATCACTATAATTATTGTCTAATAAATTTCATATTTTAAAACTATAATTTTACTCTTTATTTTTTAAAAAGTTTTAATCCAAGACAATTAAACATGTTTTGAAACGGGCCAGATCCCTCACCAATTCGGAGGTTGATCCATTTAGATATCTATGGTATCTATTCTCATAGGGCAAATTTCTCACTACCTAACCCTACAGGCTGACCTCGGGTCGGTTGGTCCTATCAAGGTCTATCTGGTTAGGTTGGGCTAAGACAAATAAAACTAGAGAAAAACAAAACAAAAGATAAAGAAATAAGGCCAGGACTGGGCCGGATCACGCTAACCCGATATTGGCCTTGGCCACGACCTAGCCCGCCATAACCCTGGTCCAAACCCTACGGCCACATTTTATGGCACAAGCCCTTGTTTTTTAAGGCCAGACCAGCCCACCCGTCCCATTACCTCCCCTATGAATCATAATCCACACGAATAGGAAAGTTCACAATCAATACGTAATCTACTTCTACTTTACTATGCCCATTTACACAAATATACTGCCACATATGCCCACCAAGGGTCTGGGATGGGATTTATATAGGGCCCGGTTACACCATTCAAAATTCAAATGGCTATCTTCACAGTTGTGGAGACCAGCCTTTATGCATGCATGGCCAATTTAAGGACACCAAGTGGCTAGCCAATACCCCACCCAATTAGTTACGACAACCTACTCCTTGGTCAGTCCTGGTTTACGGTAATCGCCTCCCTACTTCTAGTTGCTTCGCCTCTTGTCCATGGTCCGCACCTATATCCTGTGTGAGATAGAGCTATATTGGGTGGATTAGCATTAGCCATTTGTCTACACCATTGCGCTTAAGGTCTCGCATCAAAAGTCTCCAGCTATTAATCCATACGTTTTCCATACACCAATGCCGCAGTTTTTAACATTTTCTCATAGTCAAGATTGATGGTACTTCACCTCCCTCAACCCAGGATTGTTGGTTTGGAGAACTGACTTACAAGGAGAGAGAGAGTTAACTTTGGCAAAGTAGCACAAATGTATATGGCTTGTGTGAGAACCTTGTTGGCTAAGTCAAGGAAGATTTCTCGAGTCCTCAACCAATCTAAGTTCACTAATTAACTTGTATGCATGATGCTAAGGACAACGGTTTGTCGCATCATTGTCGTCATCGTCATTCTCTATTCCCAATTTAGAGTCGGCTCCACAAATTCTTGTTCTACAATCTAACTATATCAACAATCACATATTTAACCAAAAGATATAACAAAATTTTTATGTTGGTCGCCAACCTAACATAATTTCTCTTGTTTAGAAAGGTTAGAAATCTACGCCCTTACCATTCAAGGACCCCACCATGCACTTATCACCTTACTACTTCTATGTCCTCAAGTGAAGGACCCTAGGCCAAGGTTTCTCTCTCTCTCTCAATCTAGTTTAAGCCCCTCCATCTAGAATAAGTCACCTCCTAAAAATCTATTTTTAAGATGGGTTTTTGGACCTAATTTTTAATGATATGTAATTGGAGATCGTAAATATGAAAAGATAAATAAAATTTTAAAATTAAAAATAATAATTCTATTAAAAAAATTTGTACAATTAGTTTCAATTTATTTTAGATGGACCTTTGTATCTCGGGGGGACCACAAATGTAGAAATAGTCGGTAGTCGTGGGTAGGCGAAGGACGACACGAGGGGAG